GGGGGGGTGTGGGGGGGTAAATGCTACTTTCGGCTTTTTGGGTAAGAAAGGGGATTTTTAAAAATGATTTTAATTTTTTTTTTGGACGTTTTGCATGTCGGCAGGCTCAGGGCGAGCTGCCCCGGGGTTCGGCGAGCTGATGGGGATGGATGGATTTAACCCTGCGAGCGCTGGGAGCGCACAGAGTGGGGCAGGATTTGTGTTTCGGGCTATCGATTTCCCCTCCTGATTTTATTTCCCTGATATTCAAGGGATGAGTGATACAGGCATATCCAAGAAGGGAAATGTGGGAAAAAAAAACCCAAGCACAAGCGTTTGCAAGGAGACGGCAAATATTGAGCAGAATCTAACACTTTTTAAAGCATAAGTAAAGGTGTAAAACGTCTTTACTTGTGGGCACGGCAAAAAGATGTCAGATGTCTGATCCGCACCCGGCTTCAGGGAACAAGTGGCACCGGTGCCTTTGCAGCGTTTCCTAATCCCCGTTTGCGGCCAGGGAAGTTCGGAGGTGGGCGAGAGCCGTGCTCAGGTGTCAGGAGACGGCGGGGGAGCAATGGGATTGAGGCAAACTGGGGGCTGAACCCCTCCACGGGTGAATCCACTCCCCAAAAGTGGCTGCGTGCTCTGGTGGGTGCTGGAGAAAGGAAAACTCCGAGTTTGTGCACCCTTCGGCTTAAAAAAAGCCATGCACGTGGCTGAATCCGTCCCATTTGGGGGGGAAAAAAGTGGCAGGGAGATAACGGGTGCCCCAAGGCGCCGGGAATGCCCAGTCCTGCGTGCAGGAGCACCGATCCCACAGCAGGACCAGGAGGCACGGATCGCCAAGTCGCTCCCAGCAGCTCCTATACGTCAACCGCAAACGGTTCATCTCGCCCTGCTTCCGAGTTTCCATGTAAGATGCTTTAGCTTTCGGTCTGTCTGGTGACTAATTAAACAAACAGGAGCGGAGTTCCCTGCCGACAAACCCCAGCCATCTGTCTCATCCTCCAGCTCCATCCTAATAAATGGTCAATCAAAGTGCCCCTTTCCCCTCACCTCAGTGCCGACGGTCCTCCCGCCGTCCGGGCGCGCTGAGGGATGGCCGGCGGAGCTGCGAGGATACACCATCTGCCGCGCCGGTGCGCACGTCTTGCACGGGAAGACGGAGCGAGGCTTGTTAAACCACCAGCGTTAACGGCACGAGGAGCTCCAGGCAGAACGCCGCACGCTTGCACGTTGCTAATTTAAGGGTTGCCAAGCTTGCTTTGCCGATAACGCCTCTCAGGTTTTGCATTTTGCACATCTAAAGTGGGAATAGCAGTGATCAAAAGACTATTTAGGGCTGAAACATCAAATGTAGTCCTCTGCGAGGCCGGGCAGGTCGGCGAGAGGCAGTGTCCCCCGACATGCAGCAAGTCATGAATGAGCAAGAGTAAAAGGACGGAGGCCACGGTGTCTGTCCCGTGCTCCAGGAGACGTCACGAGCGCGCCTGATAATAAAACCAAAAATCGTCATCGGCCGCTCGGGACCCCACAGTACCCGTTCCCCACAGCGTCCCCAGGAAGCAGACGCGGAGGAGCGAGATCCTGACGTAACAGCATACGCTGTGATGCTTGGAGGTTTCTATGGTAATTATTAAAAAATATATCTGCGACCTGTGGAAGAAATACCCTGCTGCATCACTAGATGCATCGCGGGGCGGGCGCCTGTATAGATCAGTGCGATGTAAGGATCCCCAAGCTGGCTGGAAGCAAATCTTTTCTGGGGCTACTCAGCGGGGGCAGAGGGACTCATCAACAGCTCCGTGGCCAACTCTTTTCCCCGTGGATGGAGCATCCGATGTCCAGGCACCGTGTCCTGAGAGCGGACACCCCAGCCAGCCCTGCACAAACACAAGGCAGAGCAACTGGAGAAGCAGGATAATTCTATTTTATATGGCAAACCCCGCGGGACCTCAGGATCTTCGCAGATCCAGCCGGAGCATTTCTGCAGGGCTGCAAGTCCCAGGGCAGAGAGCGGAGGCTGTTAGTGGGGTTTGGCATCGCCCGCGCTGCCGTTATTTGGCCGGGGCAGAGCCGACGGCGTGGTCTGGCTGACCGTCACGGCCAGCTTGCCAGGGTGGCTCGGTACAGCAACATCTAGGCACCATCTACGTTTCTATTTACCTATTCAGAGAGAAAACAAGAGGCCTGCAGTAATATTAGCCAAGCAGGTGGTCTAAGCAAATTAGAGAATCTTGATGGCTCATGACTTCAAAGGAAGCAGTTGCTCATCTCTGTGGAAGCTATCCGATAGCGTGTTTAGCTGAAGGAAGGATGAATATAACCACCAGCACACAATAGCCCAGATTTTCTCTCTCATTAAACCCAAGAATTAGTGAAAATATCATGGTAGGCAGCCTGAGATAATTAAACACAACATCTCTTTTGTTCCTAAACAAAGTGTGGGAATTGGCCACTGGGATGCTAGCGTTTTCCTTACCTTGGGTGGCAAAGTGGAGCCGTGCAATTCATAAAGTCATAGAATCACAGAATTGTTTAGGTTGGACAAGACCTGTAAGACCATTGAGTCCAACTGTTAACCCAGCACTGCCAAGCCCACCACTAAACCATGTCCCCAAGCACCGCCAGGGCCTGACAGCCCTTTGGGTGAAGAAGTTTTTCCTAATATCCAACCTAAACCTGCCCTGGCGCAGCTTGAGGCCAAAATTCATACAAATAAGCCCTGCCAAAAATGAACACAAAAAAAGAAATGTAAGAAAAATAAGAATAAAAAGTCAACAATAAAACCTACATGGGTCTATATTTCCAAACTGGCTGGCGCAGCCGTTAAAAATTTGTATTTATACTCATGCTCCTGTGCCCAGTCTGGGGTTCGGGGATGACCTCGGGTCTGAATTCACCGTGAAAGGAGCAGCGATCTTCCAAGGTCTGTCCTACACGTATCTACTTGAGGCTGGAGGAGCAGGACACGGCTCTACACAGGGAATACTGTTCAGCATGGGAAGTGCTGCTCGCATTGTATTTGTTTAGCTGTTGTCAAGGGGTTGCTTTGAGAAGCCCCTGTTTCGTCACTGGGAACACCGTCGCGTTGCGCTGTGAGGGCGCTGGCATCCGCCCCTCCAGCAATGTCATCTCTGCCCTGTGCTGTTGATGAGTTGGCTCACAGGGACCCCAGGGACACAGAGGCAACAAAATAAATCAGCTTAACTGATGGACCTCAAAAAAGCGCCCTTTGCAAACGTATCCCTGGCTGCTCTCCCGCCCGGTGACGCACACAGAATTGGTGACGAAGAGGAGCTGAGGAAGACGGGGATGTGACAGATTTATTTAACCAGGCAGGCAGTAAGTTTCATTGGGCTCTTCTAGTTTCAAGCAGCCCCTTGAATATAAATGCAGGCTTTTGCACTGCCAAACCTTATCGTCCCATCAAC